AGAGGGGGAAGAAGCAATAAATGAGGATAGTCGGAGAGAGAGATGAGGTAAAGTAAACATTAAAGGTGTCGCAACCTTTGACTTAATGTCAACATAAACACAAACATACAACCAGCACGTACACTTTACTATCAACACTACTGTAGTACTGCTTACTGGGAGGCCGTTGATTCTATGAACATTTTCAATGGAAACAAATGATGATATGATCTAGCCAACTGTGGAGCCAATACTAAAGTGATTCCTAGTAGATTGATATGGAGATACAGAGAAAAGATAGCGATAAAAAAGACAAACAAAATAAAAAATAAAGAGAGAGAGAAAGAGGAGAGAGTGAAAAAGAGTGAGAGAGAGACAAGAGAGAGAAAGAGAGACAGAGAGGGGGAGAGGATGATGAACAAAGGTTCAGATAGACAGAGAAGAGACAGTAAGATGAGACGGTGGTAGATGATAGAAAGGGACAGGAAATTACTGAAATATTCAGAGTATGTCAACAGAGATTAATCCCAACAACATAGAGCACACACAAACACAACATTTTATACATGAACACGCAAGTTGAGCTAATTAGGGACTCACCACATGTGACGCATTCAACTGGCAGCTCACAATATTTGGATTGACACTAAGAATGCATAAATAATGTACGCGAGGGAGAGAGAGAGAGAGAGAGAGAGATCAAAAGAAAACAGATTATTAATGATCATTAGCAACAAATGAAAATATTGTTGACGGCATTCAATGATGGAATCCAATACAAAGACATACATATAGACACCACGGACACCTTAAAACATGTACATGTACACATGTAACGAGTACATGTACATGTACATGTACTCAAGCGTGAATATTCAGAGTGAGGCGATGAGAAGCATGACTATCATTAGCTAATGAGTAATTACAGTACCATTTTCATACTTCATTATAATTATACACTTATATATATAATATTATTATACAATTATTACACATGTACATGTACATGCATGTATAATAATAATAATAAAAATAATAATAATAATAATAATAATAATAATAATGGTATCACATGTATGGACTATAAGTCATGTATTATTATTATCGCCATGAGAAAAGAATTCAAGAATTCAAAAACTGCTACACTTATACGCAAGTTTCCTGAAACTGATACACACATTTACTCTTACACACCATATTTGTGACATGGGATATGAAAAAAGAGAGAGAGAGAGAGAGAGGGAGAGAGAAATAGAAAGAAGATTAAGAGTACATGTATTACATATTCACATCACTTAAGTGTCCATTATTGCTATCAATGTTTGTGTGGCGGATTGTAGGCAGTGGACAACACACAGCGCATTACAAGCAGAGGAATTTAAAATAACGAAATTAAAAAGAAATGATTATTATTTTAGTGACAGTAATTTATAATGCACCGGAGGATAAGCAAAAATAACGTATCAAAGAAAGAGAGAGAGACGGATACAAAAAGTGTGTGAGATATTCTATAAAAAGTACACAATTGTTATACAACCTTACATGTATTACAGTAACATTTACTCTATTTATTTATTAGCCATCTGACCACAAGAGGGCTGCATCATAAATACGTACATACACACACAAACCACAAAAGAGAAGAAGACTAGAAGAGACACACAATCAGACACACAAAGAGAAGAACATGTAGAAGAGAGCCACAAAGACAAACAAAAAAGGCAAATGCTAAAATGTACATGTATATGTGTACATACATACAGGCAGAGAGAGGGGAGAGTCACTTAAACCAATTACATGTACATGCATACCTAAAAATATATTAGCCGTGGACTAAGTGAAATATATAGCCCATTACAGACTATAATAACAACAGGTAGGTAAATGTAGCCACTTGTTTGGTAATGAAAGGGAGGAGTGGGTGAAGTTACGATAGGAATGGCATGACAGAAATGCTTATCAAAATGTCAAAGATAACAAAACTGTTGGAGTTTACGTGTGACAGACGTTACACTTTACATAAAGTCTGATTCCTCAGACTCAGTTCTACTATGCAGTTATTCTAACATTATCTGGAAGTGATAATGGTGCACGTAGGGGTCGGCGTTTCATTTTTGGGTTGCCCTGGGGATTTTATTAACAAATTGCTAACAGCTAATCTCTATAAATGCATTTACATAACTGTACCTAATTACCTGTGGACATCTGTAGCCGCTTGTAGAAAGACAGTCTTTTGATTTCGAGTCCAAATGACTATATACATACATAGTAGAAGAGGTAGATGATTGATAGTGGAAATCACATCAGTGCATAAGTACATGCATACACATGAATGTGGATTAAAGTACTCCATAGTACATGTAATTGATCATCAATTAAGGTATCATGAGAAAGGTTGATGTACCCAGGCTTGTTCCTTACCACACACAAATTGATAGTGAGGCCACAGTTTTATGTTGAGGGAAACCTAAAGAGTAACAAGAGATGGGGGAGAGGGAGAGGGGAAGAGAAAGAGAGAGAGGGGGGGAATGAGGCATATAAAGGGAAAGAGAGAGAGGGAGAGAAATAAGTGAGAAATAGAGAGATGGGGGAGAGAGAGAGAGAGAGAAAGAGCGCAATTATAAGTACAAATTGGGTTTCATACAAGTGCTACTGTAGCCTACTACTGAAAACCTTACAGTTTCACAATATTACAATAATGTAATAATAATAATAATGAGTATATGATGCCCTACTCCCTCACCCATTTTAATTAGAGCAGTCTCGGTTGAAGCCTAAGAAAAAGAAAGAGGGGGGAGAGAGAGAGGGGGGAAAAGAGAAAGAGAGAGAGAGAGAGAGAGAAGAGGAGAGAGAGGGGGAGATAAACACAAATGATTATTATTCACAGCTGCTACGTGTACTATTTGTGGCTTTACCTTAACGCCGGGCGGTCTGCAATGCTGCAATAGGCAATCTCTAAAGTGTACCTCATCGAGTATAACTTGATACACACCTAGCAAAGTATCGCATTACAATAATCTAATAATATGAATCGCAACGTATTGTAACTGGTATTGTATGTACTATACATTAAATGCATACATGCATGATTTTGCAATCAATATACATGTACATGTATGCGTAGCATGTATACATGTACATGTAGATTAGTGTTACTATCAACAGTTAAACTGAAAGTACACACGTACGTGTAGTGTTTAAACTCTATGTTTATTTATAATTAACAGAATGGGTTATACAGGTGTAACGTAATGTGTCAATGATTGTACAGGGAAGGTTAAACAAATGGAGGTAAGTATAAGCAAGTGAAGTGAGTCCTATCCAAGTCAATAAGAGGCTACATGGATCAGAGAACAATAGGCCAGTACCATAGTCCTCCCTATGGTGGTCGGGGCAACCACCTCAACAAATGAACCAACCAGTTCATCACTTAGACCATGCAACCATCCAATTTATATTAACAACCACACATAAAGCATGATATTGTAGTCTACTAGTATGGTGTACATAAATTTAAAAGGAACAATATTAGTCTCAAACAACCTCTAATTTTTTCTAGGCAGAACCCAGGATTACGCCAGACAATAACCAGTAAACCAATAGACCTTATTGTATTATATCAATAGAGCGATAGACAAGAACAACACAGTATGGGCAGTTGTATTTATGGCTATCGAATCTATCCAGAACAATTGAACAATTATCCCTTAAAAGTGTGACAATTAAATAACACTTAATTTATTCCCAAATCCCCCCCTCCCATTATTTTATATGTGACTATAATGCACAAGCTACGTGAGTATTGTTGCAATACTGATACTCACTCTATCGCTGATACACTCTCTGATAATTACCAAGAATTAATTGAGTTAATTATTACACGTTCATTCGCTAATTAATGATTAGGCTTTCGTAATGCATGACATAACGAAATTAAGAGAACCTCTATAAATCAGTGTTGGTCAATTATTGGTCAATCTGTAAGATACACCTGTCGAGCCATTAGTCCCTTTCAATCAGTTCCTACCTCATACGCACAAACATTGTAAATCCCTCAATATGGGATGGATACCATGTGAACATGTACATGTACACCTGCATGTACATGTACATGTATGCAAACTTTTTCAAGTACATGTAAATTGCAAGGAAGAATATAAAGTGAATACATGTATGTACATGTACGCCACATGTACAAACAATCATACATGTGCTGCATGCGTACATGTACATGCATGTACATGAATACCAGAAGTTCTCTCGCATATTGTGTGACATAACTTGACACTGGCAGCTAAGCCAATTACTGAGCATCTAATGTTCTGCTGGTTGAAATCCTGAGGCCAAGAGCAAGAGAGAGAAGGGATAAATAATAGAGGGAAAATATAAGGAGGAAGAGAGAGGGGGGAGAGAGAGGGGGGTAAACATGATGTACATTTATTGTTGAAAATATATTCCCAGGATCGCAAGAGGTTAAGGAGCCATGAATGATGATAACTTCACGACTGGCATGAGTAGGAATATGTCTACAGTATAATAAAACAAGGTGAATGATGATGATAATAATCATATCAACAGTATTTGATCATTGATTGTTAATATAAACAACAATTTAAAAAACCAACAACAATACAATTGCACAATAATAACAAAAATTAATAATAATAATAATAATAATAATAATACTTACACGTACATGTACATCTATAAAATCAAAAATTTAAATATTTTCTGTACATTAGCATGACACATGTAAGATGATGACACAGGCTTTCATACAGAAATTTTTTGTGGGGGGGAACTCTTAACTGTGCTAGCTTCTACAATGTATATTTGTAATTATTTTAATTGCTTCATTGAGCAAGCTTTCATACAGAATTTTTTTGTGGGGGGGGGAATCCCAGTGCCACCCAGCCTCTCTATGAAACCCTGTTACATAAGATCATGTTAAGGCCTTACCTTAACATTCTAAGTGAGAGCTCCATTGCATTCTGTAACGAACACTCTCCACTGCATTCAACATCAGTATCAAGAGCTCTTTTATGAACACTGACATTACCTGAGGAGAGAGAGGGGAGAGGGAGGGAGAGAAAGAG